ATCTAAATATAATACAAATGTATAGCAATCGAGATTACAATTAGTGTTACTTTAATGTGGTTTCAGTCACAGGACTGACGACTGACTCAATAGTGACTGCACTTTACAACACAACACACACTCTCTCTCACAGACTCTCTCTCTCTCACAGACTCTCTCTCTCTCTCTCTCTCTCTCTCTCTCCCTCTCCTCTGATGACTGCCTCCCTCTCCCTCCCAGTGCTGGCCTTCGCTCATAGCGTCTCACACTTTGCTCTTTACTGTACATCACTTACACATGAATTTCACATAAAACACAACACAACTGCCAACCCATGTCTAGACTCGCACACAGACAGACCTCTGGAACTGTTAACTATCACCCATTTAGCCATCACTGGCACCACTCATATACAGCTAGTAGAGCACAACTCCAAGTGCTGTCCATTTGATACTTACATAGCATTTAAATAAATAAATAAATAAATGATTCACTGCTGCAGACACTGTACTAATAAACGCCTAAATGGTATGAAACGGCACTAAAGCTAACACTCTGTCAACTTTATTGAACATTAAATTCTGACTCGAGTTTAAGTTTGCATTCAATTTATACACACTTTTGTTGCATTCAATTGTCAAAAGCTATTCAAATGTTCATATATTTCACAATTTAATGCATTATTATCTCAACCAAACTTATCATATGATTTGAGTGCAATTTTGTGCATTAATACAGTGTATGGGGCACACGTGTAATCACATATACACCAAAACCTGTATTATTACATGCTATGTATGACAGTGAGGTGCACTCACGAGTTTGCAATCATTCATGAATGATTTGATGATATTCTTGAGCCATCACCTCATCTGATCCCAAGAATTGCCACTAAATTACAGTAACACGAGTCACACATCTATGTCTTCGTGTGAGGTATATATTAGATCCACATTTGTTTGATTCTAGTGTTTTGTTTACATGTATGTTTATATGTTAAGACATCACCTTGCTTATTTAATGTGCTCTTTTAGTTCAATTGTGATTCAAGTGATGAACAACTCATGAAATAACTGAATATTTTCATGAATTGAACATATTTTGAATGGACTCTCATTTATGTCTATTTGAAATGCATATTACAGTTATGTTTGCAAAATGAGTCCACACTTTACTCCGTCGACTTTATATTCAATTATTTTGTATTCATATAAACAAATTCATTATTGTTATAAACACTATAAACTGCTATTAATATAGGGATGCATTTTATTGTAGACTTTGTCCTTATAAGTAGTTTTGTTTTCCTTAACTCATATTTAATGCTTGAATTTCACAACTCATAACATAATATAAAAGTACTGTTACACTAATATTATGTACTGTAGATTAATATCTAGATAGTTAGCCAGTATATTTCCATTATCAAGTCATGCAACTCACCCCACCCCACCCCCACTCTCTCTACACTTACTCCCTTATTATTTAATTGTAACAGTTAGTCATCTAATTTAAAAAGCACCTTACTCAATATAACATACAGTAATATCAAACTTGTAATATCGTAATAATTATTTAGTTTTGTAGAATTCCACTGTAATGTGACCGGGATGCAAATTTGAGTGCATCAAGTTAAATATTGAAATGTTTTCAACTTTTATTAATGAATTGTATTCATACAGGTACTAATGGACAGCCAGTCATTACAACCGCTGCGCTATTCATCACTGGAGTGGAGATTTCAGACACAATTGGCATCGCGTGCAGCGAGGGATCAGTTGAAACCGGAAGTGATACTGAAGTTTGAATTGAATGGCGAAAGTGATGTGAAGAAGTACGTGACAGTGGTGTGCGATGTCTCCAATTTGGTGCACATCCACGACGTGTTAGAGGAGGCGCTGATGACAGCCCGGTCTCAACATTTGCTTAAAATAGTGAGACGGGTCGCCAAAACAGCAGACAAATAACTTTTGGCACTAATGCTAATCATAAACATAAAATCCCTAATAAAATCAGTCGAGTGTTAAATGCAATCCAATGCCACTCATATGAACCGACAGTCAATACTATGGAAATCAATTGAAACCCGAATGACATTTATGTTATAAATATATGTTGAAAATGTTTTACATTTTTATAGTATTTTTCAAATTATTTATTATATTTTTGAAACAAAACTTATTTCATAATAAATTGCCTATAAATGACATAAAAACAGATTCAGAATAAAGTTGAGGCATTATATTTTGCTGTTTTTACTCAATTGATTTATTCAATTCTCGATGGAATTCATGAATTATGGTTTGCAATACATTCTTAATACAGATATGTTTGTTATGTCCAAAGATTGAAGTGAACTTTTATGGAGAGTATACTTACCGGTAATACTATGAACTATCCCACCAAAAATTTATAATTTATAAGTAATAAAACTAGTTTTTAATCAGAAGTGAGTTGCTGTATGAAATGAGTTATAAATTATTAATTGTTTAATGTCTATATGAAAATGTGATTTAACATTTTATTGGTCTGATTCTCGATATATTTGTCAATAAATATGTTATTTTAGTTCCGGTTTTCCATAAATAGAAATCAAGTTTCTTTGAATGAGTTGTGAGATGTGAACAGATGGCCATCGATTGGAGAATAGACTGCACTCTTGGCTCACATAATATACTTTCCCCCAAAATATCTAATTTTCACTTAAAAGCGACCGAAAATTTATTTTTCATGTTTTCATACCAATAAATTAGTTTATTAATTATCTATCAGTTTGTGTAAACATCTTCTCATAACTCTTAATATTTTATTAGATGTTAACATCATTTGCAGTGCAAATAATCTTAATTTATTTTTCATTTTCAGACGACTTAACCCAGACTTTAATATGAAATCACATTTAAAATGAATTATTTTTATTTTGAAAAGAAGTTTATTTAGTTATGGACATAGAGTTCATAATGAATTCAGACTCAGCAAAACTGGGTTATGATGTCTATTCGAGTATTTGTCAAAATTTTATACTATATTTAAACAATTGTTATAATATACTGTAGATATATTTATAATATTTTACAATACTCAGTGTTTTGTAATTAAGTCAAAGTTTATTATCAAAAAATGAATTCAATAGCACGAAGTTGATTTTTTATGTAAATAAAAAATTTAAAAAATTAAACATATTTCCGATAATGCAATGTTATTAAAAGTTAAGAAATTATTATTAATACTAATACTAATTGTGATTTGAATGCAACAAACGGTTTATACTTCTTGAGTGCATATCATATACGAATTGACTGATGAGAGCATTGGACGAGTGGACGACACCCACAACTATTGCAGAAATGTTAGATAAATGAAATAAAACTCAAATAATTACATTAAAGAGTTTGCTTGGGATGTATTCAAAGTGAATAACTTATTGTATAAAAATAGATTCATTCAAATATTGTTGTTTACTGAAATGGCATGAAAAACAAAAATTATATTAATTGAAACATTAATTGATTAATTTATTTGGAAACCTCTATCCAATTGATTGCGATTTTGATTTGCTTGATAAGTTAATTTATGTAAGTAACGCATAAATTCTTTGAACTAATGTATAGTAAAATTAGGGAAAGGGATACTAAATACCAAAGAGTACTTCCTACACAACTGTTATTGTAATCCAATTGCAGTGCATTTCTTACAGTTATTGTCGAAAGAGACAAATGACGCAAAACTGGGATCACATACGAAATGATTTGAATATTTCTCAGTAATCATAAAATGCATCAAAGGTTACCATCAGTTATTCACTTCACATCTTTAATGTCACCAACAATTATGTGCTCAAACTTATTGTTTACTTTATTTTTATAAGTGTTTTCATATAAAACAATAATGGTTTTACCACACCTGACATAATGATGTCATTATATTTGCATAATAGTTACTATTATAAAATTGAAATTATAAATCTAAAAATTATTGCCTAATAATCACTAAAATATACTGTATAGCGTATTTTATGAAAATGTATTCATATTTGTCAAACCCTTTTAATTTATTCATACTTTACTGTAGATTTCAGTTTGTTTTTATAAACAAATGTCAAAATTCCCACAAACCTATTGAAACCTATTTTCAAAATAAATACTTTTAAAAC